TAAGCATCAAAACAATACATTCAAATGGTAACAAACACTGCTGCTAGAGCATTCTGTGAACTCACCCTCCTAATTGTCAGTTTCCAACGAATCCACATTCACCTGGGCAGTCAGTCTATCGACAGCACTCACCTCCGCTGTGGGCAAATATGTTAGGGACGCGTCTCACTGAAAGTTTCATAACCTCATGAACCCATGATGCAGACAGATTCACAGCGTTACCTCCTTTCAGACCAATGAAATACAGCTAGCACTAGGGCTAAGGACACTAGCATTCCGTACTGAATACCCCTCAACTTCACCCGTCCCTAACGATGCCAATGAATGCCAGAATCAGGAAGCTGGATTCACCTTACCTTTCAACTGTACTACTCCCAGGGCACTGGGCGGAATCCTGACGACTGACACAACCGTCCATACTTTGGAGATGTGCTATGCTAATCTTGCGTATATCGATGTCATTGGCAGCTGTTTCCGCTAAGTCAACTTCACGGTATATTTGTTGATATTTAGTGAGGCTAGGCAGAGGCTTACCGTCGTATGACATTAGGCTGAACCCGTAGTCTTAGGTGCACACCTCTGCCGGCTTTCACAGTAGGGCAACACAAAACCAGCACCACTTAAATGCTCTATGTAGAGCTTTTTTGCGTTGACGACCCAGCATGTAACTATGGAGCGGATCAATGCTGCCTGGAGAGTCATGATTACTGTAATCATGAACAATCAACTTAGATGGTTGAAATGGAAAGTGTTTCCTTTATTAATTCATGTGTAACTGAGTATACTAACATTAAAATTTATTTGCGTAAATCAGAATTCTTACCCCCAAATTTACTATTTTACTTCTCCTTTCTAACCCTAAATCCTTTCTTCCTACTTATTCCACCAACTTGTTTGTTTTTCATTTGAAATGCATAATTTATTGTGGTAGATGATAGAAGCTTTATGTTATATTAAAATTTATTTTGTCGGCGTAGAATGTAGTTTGACATTTGATTAGAAGAATATTCTTAAGTGAATTAACATTATGGTATACGAGTGTTTTAATGAAAAGTTCAATAGTATGTGAGTTTCTAAATAACTGGGAATCTTTGTAAATGTAATTTATATTAGCGATAATATTTGTAATGATTCACAAAAGTCTTTCGGGGATTTCTTACCTTCGTTGATCAATGAGTCAAAAAAGGTGTAAAAGGTAGTGAATTAAGGCTTAGAGCAGTATGCGAGAACTATAGCCATATTTTACTCGAGAAATAAGGGTAAGTACTAATAGTATAAAATATATGCTGTTATATGTTGTTAGTTTTCTCTTACTTTTGCTTCATATTTACCTGTGACCTTCAAATAACTTTATAATCACTGTTTTCGCATCCTCTTGGTGTGTTGCTAGCACCTGAAGGCTGAATTCTCATTGGTTCTTAACTCTTTTAAGTTATCAGTTAATTTAATGTTCGTCAAGGTCATTTGGAATGCATATATTCAGCATCGTTTTCCACTGTTTTGACTGTTGTTAGAACTTAAAGCTCTCTACCAACGCTGAGTCTTCTCTTCCTGCCTTCTTGTGTTGGTGATGTTATTATTGTGGTTGGTTATTAGAGTAGATTCTTTTGTACATTAGATTCGTATCGCCCACAGACTGATGGGTCGCATTACCAGTCATAGCGTGTGCTATATATTCATACCTTTCTACAGTCAACAGTAAAGAGGAACTAGATATTCTACAAATTTGACAGATATTAGTGACTCACATTAGAACTTCACCTGTTAAATAAGTAGCCAAAATTAAATTGATCTTTCTTCTTCATGACAGTATAGTATGATCTAAAAGATAACCTTTTCTACTGATCTTGAATATTAACCTGGAAAAGATTTTTCTTGAGATTCAGCAAAATATTTCCCATGGCTTCTTAAAAACTTAAAGGTATAAATAGTAGATGAAACTCACTGTCCAATAGACTCATAATTCCCAGGTGCATGGAAAATAGAAAAACTTTTTTGAATGGTTCATTGCTGTTCTGTCAGTTAGCCAGTTTTAATCGTGTTCGGTACATACCTTGTAAACAACATATTGGCTGTAGAATTAATTTCCTAAAATAATGTTCTGTTTATCGAAAAAAAATAAGCAGAAAAAACATTGGATAGTCAGTCGCCATTTACCCCATTTTATCGCTTATATCTAGCTGGATTCAACTAAAAATAATCTAAGACGATTCACAAGGTTCCAAAATAACAATGTAAACACCTTCCTTCATTGTCGTTTGTGCATAGATAAAATACAACTTCGAACATTACTTTCAAGGGAAAGCAGCGCTTGCGCAGTCCAACCTCAGTTTTTTCTACATGACTTTTCCTTTCCACATTGATTTGTTTTCTAATATAATGTTTCGTATCTAGGATAAAGCTAAGTACTTCTACCGCTAACCACTTAATACATCCTTCTTATTCTAATTTGCTTCCATTCTCTTTCTGTCAAGACTATTATTCTTAACTGAATTGTATCTTTTTAGAGCTCACAACTGTTATCTGACTTCTTGACAATGCGCTTTGTTGAATATAAGTACTTCTAGGTAACATTGAAAATAAACTTGATGATGTAGAAATCGTACTTATCTAAGAGAAATAAACTAGACGATATGTGGATGATACTGTTTTAGTCTTTGATAGGTGTATATGTATTAATTCCGTTCTGAACCATCTAAATAGTGCTCATCCATTAATTCATTTTACATATGAAAATCAAATTAATGATTCGATACATTTTCTTGATGTGTTAATTACAAGAAACAAAGATGATTATACTAAGAAGCATATATAGAAAACTAACGTCTCAGGCACAGTATACACACTTCCTAAGTTTCCTACCGATGAAGTACAAACGCAGTATAACCAAGGGCCTGTCTTTTACAGTGAGATCGACTTATTTCAAAGAGTGCGTCAAAAAGGAACTACTGTGTATCCGTGATATTCCAAGTGAAAATGGATATCCGGATAAGTCCATCAAAACTAACATAAACTACAGTGGTCCTAAACAAGAACTGATGACAGTGGAGAAGAAGCCTTTGTCTCGACGCTTACAATTCAAAGGAGACGCTGCAAGTGAAATTCCGTTATAACGCCCAGCTAGAGCAGTCAACATGATGTTTCATGCAGATCAGCTTTGCATATCATTCAGTAGTCGGCCAATGCTCAATCCGAGACTAGAGGCTAGCTTAACTGTTCATCTTGCATATATCAGTTTAACTGTTCCTGTGGAACTAGGCAAGTGTGTCTCCGGATAAGAAAGTATTTAGTAGGTTGATTTGTTAAGGGTGAAGTGGCAGTAGTGAAAAGTCCAGTTCTAGCCCATCTAGTTGATACAGGGTATCACAGAAATGCTAACAAAGCTTCCAGTGTCATTCATTGTGTTCCGAAGACGATACCACATCTGGCTCGCCAACGCCTGCTCGACATAGCGCGGGCTATTGCAATAAGATTCATCAAACCTGAACTCTCCATTCAGAAAGAACGTGTTCAAGTGTTACCTCTCCCTTGGCCTTCAGCTAACGAAAGGCACTCCCTGTTATCTTATTTGTTATGTTTTCGTTTATCATCATATCATTCATCTGCACATTTATCATCCCAATAATGACTAATTTAAAAAGATAAACCAGTTTCCTTACAATCCCTGTATCTCCTTCCATTTTGAAACTGTAATTCCCCTCTGACATGACTTGTTTTTACGCTGTACAAATGGATTTTATAACTGTAGAACATGAAGAGGATTTATGAAAAGGATATTCTTCGTTCAAAATGTTACCTTTTATAAATTTTATGGGAATCTTTACTGATTTGAAAACTAGACGAAATTGAGTTAGTCCTAAGTTCACTTACTTCTTATGTTTTTACTGTCATTCCCATTTAAGCATCACTTTAAATTTTTTTGTAAACAGTAACTAATTGTTTACAAGATTTAGTCACCAGGGAGCAACTAATATCATATTGTTCTATCCTAAGTGACGACAGCATTTTATCAACCAATTGTGTAAAGAAATTGTTAGCTCTAATAAAATTATGCAGCCGGTTAATTTTGGCTTGAGTAGGTCAATTTTACCATCTCTGACTACACCCGTAGCTGACACGAATTCAGATTTCTTAATCAGCATCTATTCAGTCGAGTGTGTAGGTGTATCTCCCTGCCAGTGTAAGGACAAGTCCGACATCAGCAATTTCTCCCAATCACTTCTCATAAATTTCCATTCCATCTTTTGTTTTTTATCGAAATGTTTATAATTCTAGTTTTGATAATTTTGTTTCAGACATTTATTTTTCTTAAGTTAAGGCATCAACATGTAAGATATATGCTTTACTGCCCTAACTTTACCTTCTCGAATGAATCAGTATGTCTGTGCAACCCATTACTCTTCGGCAATTGGCAACAGCCACACCAGCAAACCATTTTCTGATATATTTAAGGCGATCTGATGTCACTGAAGCATTACAGTAGTTAAAGAAGTTACAATTGTTGTATACATTTATTCATATCTCTTATATGTGCCGTCTAACTGTCAACCTCGCACGTATCTAAGCAGTCAGTAGATCCATCAGTGAGTGATGGTATTGGGACTAAGACTCGAGCACAGCACCCATCACTACAGACGCCAATGCGTTATCCAGTAGACCACTCAGGCATCGGAGCCGCATCCTGTGCAACAGGTCTGGTGAACTCAGATTTAATGTTTGAAGCAATGAAAGTACAGTCAGTTGACGTGTCTCAAAGAAGATGAAACATGAGTCCTGGGTCTCAATGCTAACCACAGACAAGTAAACCATAACAATGAATGTTCAAGTAATATCGATACATTCGTGCAGGAGACTATATATACCAATACAGATGGATCAGTTTGAGAAATTACACGTATCAATAAATCAGGAACCATAAATAAGATGACTAAAATTGGATGATTTTCAAATAAATTAAACCGAGTTAAAATTTCACGTTTTTCTTTCTTTTTTTCATTTAGGTTTCCTCTATTTCTGGGGAATAACTTTCATGGTGACCAATACGTTGTTAGTTTTGTTTAAACATGAAAAAGATTCAAAATTGGACACTGAATTTCGTAAATTTTTAAATCATTTATCTTGTAAAATATTTCAACGAAAAACAGTACACAAAACTCATACGCTTAATCATCAAAATCATAACTGTACACAAAGTAATAATAATAATAATGATCCAACCATTAATACTGACACTGTTCAGGATTACAGTGTAACTAGCTCTCCTAATAGTGAAGCAATCAATGAAGAGAATGGTAACATAGATGATTCTAAATTACCGCTTAAATTGAATCACTTTAAAGAAACAAAAGATCATCATTTAAACAAGAATAAACCTGTACAAGGGAATACAGACCTTGAATTAATCGACAGGACAAAACAAATTCTAAGAAATAATATACATCATAACAATTCTTGTAAAAGTCAAATGATAAAATATAATGAACATTTTATTGAAAATCCTCGAATTGATGACAATGGTAATCATAATAATGATAATATTGATAATGATAATACTAATAATGCTGAAAGTTGCCATCATAACAGTTTTCATCCGACAGCGGAAATTATTGAAAAAGAAGCCGATTTATCACTTATCGATACATACCGTGTTATGTTTGGTGTGATTCGATTGAAACCTGTGTGGCAATTTTTAATTTTATTAACAACGGTTAAAGTAAGTTGAAATGTTCTATTTTCATTTTTAATAAAAATGTATCTGATTAATTGCAAAGCATTTTTTATGCAGAAGGCTAACAAAATTCAGAAAGCTATTGAAAAGTAGTGAGTACTATTGTTTCAGTGGGTAAGGTGACTAGTGAAAGTTCTAAAGAATGGAAACTACTAGTATTTGCATAATCAGTGAAATATTATTATTTTTCCTTTGAGTTCCTAGTGGAACAAATGGCTTCAGTAGCACGTCGACATTTCACTCTTTTATCTGCAGTCATTTGAACCTGGCTCCACGACTGCCAAAAAGCTTTCATTTCTTCCTCGGATGCCCAACTCATCGTTTCCCATGCAGGTTCCACTAGACGGCCCAGCCTGGCGTGTGATGTCCATAAATGGTCTTCTCAGTGTATGTCCAATCTAGTCCAGTCGATCTCTACTTTCTTCTGTTAGGTGATGTCCTCTTGGTCGGTTCTTTGCAAGACCGGACTTCCTCCTTGCTTATTGTTATTATTCAAGCCATCCATCTGATCTCCATCTTCAGTATCAAGTGAGCGTAGGCGGCAGCTGTCCATGATGTATGTCTGTAGTATGTTGGAAATGCTTTTTGTAATGCTCCAAATCTCTCAACTATCACATAGAAAAACTGGCTTACTTGACTGATATTAGTGTTGAGAATCGGGATGTTGTTGACGCTTTATGCTGAGTGAAGTGAAGTGGAGTGCAGTAGATCTCCACACTGATTATTTCAGATTAATGAAGGAAAGCCTGTACTATGCATCTACTGGAGAGTTTCTGGATAAGATAAAATACTTGTCTGTGCTTTTCAAAGATTCAACTGTTGATTTCAACTCTTTTCAAGACTTCTATCCTTTTTATTAATTCGTTTTTGCACATATTGATGAAGTTAAACACCTGATCAGTAAGTGAACCTCTTACTTCAGTTGGTATGATCTCATACAAGTGACCCAGAGATAGATGGTTCCATTCCTGCCGTTATCTTTTCATCACCAGTTATCACTTGCGTATCAATTATACTAATCTGTCAAACCATGTTTATCTAAGTTAATCTTATTGGTAGCCAATGATGAGTTGATTTATTATAGGAATCAAGAAAATAATTTAAAAGTAAAACAGAGACACAGTCAAGTCGTAAGGGTTAATATTGGATTATTACATAACAGAAAGTTTGCATCATAGAAGAAATGGTGGATTTTACCCAGTGGTCAATTGTTAACATGAGAATAATTAGATAAGAAGATGAACCGTAATTATAGTAATATAATAGGTGGATAAGTTGGTTAGCTGTCCCACACACTTAAGATAGCTACATAACCTAGCATACATAAATGCATCGAGATTTTACAGGGTTATGCAAAGAAAAATGGCTAACCAAGGAGTGATATCGAAGCAGGCAAAGTGTACGATAGAGCAGACTTTAATAATTCAATACATTTGCTCCATTACGACTGACTTTTGATCATGTCAAGATAAATGCTCAAACAGAGCACAATCGAAAGAGAACAGAAACACTCAAGACTATTCAAAAAATAAAGAATTAATAACAAACCTGTACTATCATGATTAGTTTCGAGAACTATTCACGTAAGATCTCCAAAGACTGATTTGTAGCGTATCCACAACTCTACTTCGTAAATTCACGTTCGTATACATGATTTATTCCACCTGTTACTTCTTTTCGTGAAATGATGTAATTTCTTTACCTGATCATCTATTGCTTACTTATTTTTAACTTAATCAAACTTCAGTTAAAACTGTGTTACAAGTTAGAGAGTGCATTGGCATGAGTGAAAGGTTTCCTGCAGAGCTCGGTTAATACAGTCTCAACACCATCACAGTAGACTTAGAAACGATGGAGATGGATGGTCTTGACTGTATTGTATTCTCTGACCTAGGTTGTTTAATTGTGGAGCTTTCATCCTGTTACTACACGACATCATTGGTATCAACTTCAATATGAAATTAGCTGACAATATTGCTCAGTGAGTGATCCAGTAGCTTACACTGACGAAGTGGTTTGTGATTAGTTGATCCCTTTGATTGTTGTATCATTGGCTGTATAGATTTTCCTGTTGGCTGTTCCTCTGCTTCTTCTTTAGGAGAAGAAGAACGGTTACTCACGAAACTTTATCAGAAGATGCCTATCCCGTACATTATCAACCACAAAGTCATCGACGGAAATCAATAAACACATCACCCTACCGCACATAAAGAATATATCAGAAATCACGATAGAATTACTGAGACTACTTGGAATTGATGTGGCTCATAAACTAACAAATTCCCTCCAAACACTATTATGCAGACCAAGGAATGCGACAACCAAAGAAGACAAACCGAACATCATTTACAAAATCAACTGCAATAACTGCAGTCAATACTACATTGGACAAAGTAGTCGCCCTCTTCGCCTTCGTCTACATGAACACCGATTCGCTAGTAAACGTCACACATGACGTTTCATCACTCATTCCAATGCATGTGGATAACAACTATGCAGATGAATTCAACTTTGACAATATAGGAATTTTGGACGGAGAGAGGAAACACAACGAATATCAGAGAATTCGTAGAAGTTTGGTATTCAGGTCAGTCAGTCAGCAATCAATAGATGTATAGACATAAACCCAATCTATCAACCAATGAGAAAAGTGGTAAGAGATAGAAAGGTCAGAGGTTAATCAGAGTAACAGCCAGCAGGAAAATCTGTCCAGTCCATGACACAACAATCAAAGGAAGCGACCAATCACAATCCAGTTCGTCAGGGCAAGCTACTAAATCACTCATGGAGAGGTACTGACAGCTCACTTCACACTGAAGTTAGTGCTGATGATGTCATCTAGAAAGACGATGAAAGCTCCACGACTAAACAACCCATCTTAGAGAACACAATATAATCAAGACAATGGACTTACTTTTGGCGTCTAGTTTCAAGCATTCAACCTCAAGATGTTGTGTACTACTACTCGCAAATAATTTTGCGAAGGCAATCATGGTCAAAAAACTATCGACTTCATGCTTTTTACCTTCTTGTTGAATGACCACAATCATGTACATAAGACTTTACACTTGTAAGAAACTAATAATAAGTAGTATATAACTTTTAGAGCTATTTTATAGATGTTGTGTGACAGAAGAATAATCCTAAGAATGAAACCTTTTACTGATCCAAATTAACTTCTTGGTGGTTATTCAAGTAACTGTTCAACAGCATGTCTTTACTTCAGCAGGAAGAAGTAAATTTAAGCATATACACAGATGTAGTCAACAGTGATGACATATATAAGCTAATTGGAAGCAATCGGCAAAAAGCTTTGCTTCAACTAGGTTCCGTGCTTGATGACAGTCGTTGCCAAGGCGTACCTGCAATTTGGAAGGAGCAGTTGTGGCCTCTAAGATTTGGATTCATGTCATCCTAAACTGCACCTAGCAATATTACCACTAAACTATATGGACTAAGAATGACCTCATGAAGGACTCCATTAGATACGCTGATAGGTGATTGGATAGTAACTAACTTCATTAAGAGATTTCAACCTTCTAAGTCAATTAATAATGCCACACCTTCATCCCTCAATCAAAGCATACTAGAGAAGAATCACTCATATGTCTGATTATTCATAAAGCCAGATTACCACACTACTCTTTGGCTTGTTCGTTGACAGGAATTATGGAACCAGTCAGAAAGATGGCAGCCCAATACTTCTCAATAGACGACTTCGAATTTGACGACACTTTTGAGAGATAAGTTTACCTGGTAAAGTGATAACTTTACTAGATACTGTCTCTCTATTTACCATTGTTCACTTAGTAGACATGGTGCGTTTCCGACTTGGAGGTAATCGACAGAAGTATCTGAATCAGCTAGGCTTCGTACTTGTTAGTAGTCATCAGCAAAGCGTATCTGCAACCTCAAAGGAACTGATATCCAACCAACCTACATACAGCAAAGTGCACCGTGGTGATGAAACAGCCTCCTAGTTTGGTAGCTACTTTGTAAATATATCGATAGAATTCAATCAGGAATAGACAACACGAAATAGGTTGCTCTCTCATGGCCAACCAATGCAATGGAAACCGATATTTGGTTTTTGATGAACCCAACATTCATGAAGTAACTAAAGTGTAAGAATCCAGCAAAGAACTTTCTTGGAGCTACTTTTGGTAGTCGTGCTTGTAGAACCTGAATAACTGTACCACCTTAGAGTTCCATATTTCTACGTCAGCACTTTTCAGCCAACGGGATTTTCCACTTGTTTTTCATATGTTTATTAATAAATCAGGTTGGTTACTCATTATGAACCAGACTTCCTCGGAAGAATTCAAATTCCATACTGATTGTGTCTTTTCTACAAGTGCTGTAAATCCCGGTCACAAAAAATATAATGCTACGTTTGTTTTTTTGGTTCATACAGACAAAACTGTGAACATTAGTCAAATGTATGTTAATGATAAATCCATCTTTGAAGTGATCCCTCAGTTCCCTGGGACAGTCAGACACATGTGTAGGTAAATCTACATTTCAACTTTAATTGAAGTGTAAAATAAATCGCTGATGGAAAATGACTGAGGATCTACGGAACTTTATCCAACTCAGTTATTTCATTACCAGCACTAAAGATATCATCCGCCTATCTTTAGCAGACACCGAACTTATCGACAGCTGGGTGCAAGTTATCTGACCTTATATAAGCAACGAAACAGTCTATCAGTAAGGGGGGAATCGCAAACTGCATGCTACTTCAAGATTAATTTGATATATTCCTTCACTGCATACAAACTTGACATGCAGTGTACATCATAGGATCAGCTCTTGAATATACCAAGTAAGCATATCAACATCCTAATTTCTGAATCAATAAACTCAAATTGGAACCACACCATGTCTACGAAATGAACAATGGTAAATAGAGAGACAGTATCTAGTAAAGTTATCACTTTACCAGGTAAACTTATCTCTCAAAAGTGTCGTCAAATTCGAAGTCG